AAAATAGCTTTTATCTATTATTTCTTTGAAGACTCCTAGATGACTTGCAGAGACACATAATTTTCTCTTTACCCCATAAAACAGAAAATCTAGTTCTAAAAGATCATGAATTCTCCACTTATAATCTTTAATGTTAGTATATTGATGTGCATAATTAACGAAAGTGTTTTTGTTGTTAAGTAATTGTTAATATATGAAAAATGTATTAGTTTTTTTCAATATTCCACTTGAGAGTATTATTGCTGCCACTGTCTGTATTAGAGGGAAGAAAAGCGTAGGGGTGGCCAATAATTATATAATATATATAATTAAGACTGGATTGTTTAAAGAATATCTTTTTAATTAAAAAAAAACCTGGATTGTGTCAGGATTGTTTTATAAAAATGATTTCTTTAAAAACTGGACAGTTTAATTACAGTGGTATCCTTTCATTTTATTATGAAAAGAATTTACTAAAAAAAATAAACTTGATTGTTTCATTAAAAACTGAATTGTTTTATTAAGAGCTGGATTGTTTTAATCAAGAATTTGGTATTTCAATTTAAAGTTAGATTGTTTCATCAAATGCTGGACTGCTTAATTGGGAACTAGATTTTTTTTAATATGAGACTGACTTTTTTCAGCTGGCTGGTTTGTTTCATTTAAAATGAGACTTTCTCCTTGTTAAACTGAAGAGTATCAAAAAAACTAGAAAGAATCTTTAAAAGTGTAATGTTTTATATAAAACTAGATTGTTTAAAAAGCAATGATTTTTTTTTCCCTTGGTTGTTTGTAAAAAAACAAGATTTTTTTTTTTATCAAAAACTGTATTTTGTCTAAAGACTCAGTTGTTTCATTTTATTCCAAAAGAAAGAGAATTAAAAACATTCCACTGGGTTTTGTTTCCAAGTTCGAAGACGTTTCGCTTCCCATCCAGGAAGCTTTTTTAATTCAAAAGATCAGAAATAGCGTTGAGTTCGAGGTTTTACACAGTAGCCCAACAAAGCCTTGTTTACGTTTTAAAAACATGCAAACTGGAACGGACGAAGGGTTTTCATCTTTAACAGGATTTTTTCGTATCAAGCTGGACAGTATCAATAGAAACTGGACTTGTTTTCCATCGAATTCTAGTAAGAACTGGAATGTTTCATATAAAACTGGATTTTGTCCTCTTAAACCAGATTATTTTATATAAATCTAGATTATTTAATTAAAAACTTGATTACATCATTAAAAACGGAATTCTTTTAATAACAGTTGGATATTTAAATTATAAACTGGATTTTGTCATTTAAAACAAAATTGTTTCAATAAAACCTGGATTTTTTTAAACTGGATTAATTCACATATAACTGAATTGTGTCCTTAAACACTGAATTATTTCATCTGCATTGTTCATATAAAACTGGAAACTGGATTCTTTTTATTAAAAGTGAGCTTTCTCCTTACAAACTTGATTCAGACATATAAAACCTAATTGTTTTGTAAACAGCTTGTTTAAAAAATATCTGTATATTTACTCAGATACTCAGATAAGACTGGATTGTTTTATTAAAAACTTGATTTCCTGACGAAACATTTGGTCGTTTCATTAAAAACTCAATTTTTTTCTATGAAATTTAATTCTTTCACGCATAAATCTTTTTTTTTTAAAACATGGATTGTTTTGTTAAAATCTTGACAGTTTCATATAAAGCTGTGTTGTTTTGTCAAAAACTGGGTTTTGCAGTTAAAGGCAGACTTTGCTTGCAGCACTTTAATCAATTGGAAATAATCTCAGAAATTCTTTAACATCCATTAATCTGAAGGCCAGTTTAAATTCAAACTCTTAATCACACCTGCTTTTACCCACTTGGGGGCAGTAGAGCACCATAAAATACTTTTAACCCCACAGAAGTCCTCAGATCATCTTCACATTATTGTTTAAAGGGACTTGAACCATGAGGGCACCACTGGATGGTCACTTGAGGTTAAGACTTGGACCAAGCCATGTCCAACCGTGAAGCTCTGTGGGACATGTGGAATACTAGAGGAAGTGTCCGCTTTGATGAACCTGAGATGTAATAATTAATCATTATAATAATTGAGCTTTATTGATCTCACATTGGAGGAATTTACCACTACATTTATGTTGCTAGGTTTACCACACCGTGACGTCACTGCTGGAAGATGGCAGGAGTGAGGTGCTATTATATATGGGCAAAAATGGCCGCTCCCAGACTCAAGGCTGGTTTATACTCAGAAACTAGATCGTCTGCATGTGTGTTGCAGTGAACGCAAATGTGCCCCCCCGTTCCACTGACATTCTGGACAGGAGGCCTCTGATTGGTCAAATCTACAGCCTCTCTACACAATGCGTATTTCCTGTTTGGTATCTTACCGGCTTGTTTTGTTTGTATGAACGCCATTGAGGAAAACGACATGTGAAGATGGACCAGCTAGAAGAGCGAGGTGCATGAGAATGCTGGGAGCCTTTTTCCAACTGGATCCCCGCTCTTTTTCGCCCTCATGTCCCTCCATTGTCGCACAAACTTGCCCCCACTTCCTCACCGCCTCGGCCGTATCTAGACCCACAGCTAGTTCCTGATTGTCCCTCTTGCGTTGTGGCGTGGAATAACATAGCGCAGACCACGCTTTAATATTGGGCATAAATCTAAAATATCTGCGACAAGCTCACTGCGACACTCTGCTGAGGGAGGATAACCAGCTCTTCAGTGATCGCGACGAAAATTGTTGTTTTTATTTTTTCACTAATTAAGAGTAAATTCATTAAATCACTGAAAATTTATTTGTTTTAGGTATAGATAATGATCCATTGATTATTCCTTGCTGAACAGACTTTTCCTTTAACCAATCCCCTTGGGGAGCAGTGGGCTACCATTGTGCGGCACCTGGGGAGCAGTGTGAGGTTAAGGGTCTTGCTCAGGGACCCAGAGTAGAGGCTGTGGGGATCGAACCAGGTACTTGCAACCTTCTCAGAGCACAAGCACATAGCTCTAACCACTAGGCCAACACTACCCTAAATCAGGGGGAGTGTTGGCCTCTGGTTGGATGAATGGACTAATGGAGGGTGGAGAACTTGCCTGGACCGATGCAGAAGCCGGCGATGATGCCGACCACACAGCAAACACTGATGTAGCGCATGAATAGTAGCTT